CCCCGGCTGTCGCTGCCGTCAGCCAGCCCGGACCCCCGCCCGCAGTCACGTGAGTCACCGGGCACCCCCACAACAGCTCCGAATGGCGTCAGGGTGACGTCACAGGCCGAACCCCGCGGGCTGCGGGCACGAGCCCCGCGCGTCCCGGCGCCCCCCGCTCGCGGTCCCTCCTGTCGCGGCGCTCACCGCTGAAAACCATGGCGGCCGAGGCGCCCATGACGGCGAAAAAGGAGGCGTACTCGGGGCCGGACACGGTCTCGGGCATGTCTGCGGGTGGGGGGGGGGCGAGCTCAGCGGGGCGAGTTGGCCGGTCGCAGGGCGGGCGGGCACGGAGGAGAGAGGGCCGGCGGCAGCGAGGCGATCCGGCCCGTCAGCCGCTGCGCTCTAAATACCAGCACCGCAGAACAAAATGGCGGCCGCCGCCGCGTCACATGACCCGCGCCCCGCCCCTGCGGGCTGTACCACCTCGCGCCGGCGGGGGGAGTCGCGACCAGGCGACGCTCGGGTGACTCGTGGACCGTTCCCGCTTCGGGTCACCGCGCTGCAGGCCCGGGCCTCCGCGCGGCGTCCCACCTCTGCCTCCGAGGTGCACTGCCGGGTGTCGCTGGCCTAACGGGCCCCGCGGCGTTGGACCCGTCCAGCCCCTGGGCCGGAGCCGGGCGGCGGGCGATATTAGCATACGGGGCGTGGCCTCGGGACCCCGCCTCCTCTGCGGGCTGCGCCGGGTCCTCCGCGTTCGCGTCCGAGCGCAGTTTCTCCTTGGTGTTACCGGCGCTCAGCGTTCTGTCTGCCAGGCTTTTCCTCCGTGTTTCTGACGGTCTGGGCGCTGGGCCGGGCCAGGCGAGACCACGGGCTCCCGGGAGCAGACAAAGCTGGACTGTGGAGTCCCGGGCGCCGGCCTCCGCTGCTTCTGAGGCCAGGAGAGCCCGCACCTCACCCATGAGTCGTGACCTCCGGCCGCAGCTGTGTTCCGAGTCGCCCCCTGCCGCCCCAGCCACTCTAGGGCCGCACCAGCCCCTCCAGGGCGAGACCCACCAGCTCCAATCCACGTTTGCTGACTTCACCCCTTGCTTCTGATTAAAAAAAAAAAAAGGCCACCTTGCGGTCATCCGTCACCTCCCCTTTCTCAGGGACTAGGACATCAGTTGGGGGGTCAGGGGCCCCTGAAGATGTATGCGTGGCTGCTTCGAATCCCTGCCAGTGCTGTGGCCTCTCGGCGACCGCCAGGATTCTCCTGTCCATGTACTTGCTTGGAGATAATGACAGCCTGTCCTGCCTGGGCTGGCACTACCCACGGACCCCCTGCTGCAGCCCTGGACCTTATCTCCACTCCTCAGCTCCTCGGGCTTCCCTTAGCCCTCTGGTCCTTCCTTCCGGCATGGCTGTGGCTGGGCTTCCCCAGTGACCCCAACCCACTGTCCTTACATTAAAGCACGCTCCCAGTGCCAGCCTGTCCACGAGGATGGTGGGGTCACCTTCAGGGTCTGGGCCTCCTCCAGGCTGGACTCTCAACACATTTTTCCACGCAGGAATCTCCCTCCAGCTCCTTCCATCCACTCAGCTGGATCTGCCACCCGCGGCTCCCACAGCCCCTGAAAGTCCCCCATCTATCCTGCCGCTCAGATAGGTGGCAGGTACCCCTAGAAGCCCTCCCTACCTCCCTCTGCTCCCCTTTGTGCCCCCAACTTAGGCTTCTTGAGAGAGGACTCTCCCTGCAGCACCCCTGCCTCCTCACTGCCCTGCCCCCCACCCAGCTCCTTGTCAAGGTCAAGGGTGACTGCCATTTCTCTAGGCAAAGGGCCATTTGTCAGGCTTCTCCACACACTCTCCTGTCTTGCCCACCTCCTACAGCTCGCTCCTCAGGCCACCGAGTCCTCAAGTCACGAGGGGGGGGGCTGAACCGGGTCCCGCCAAGTAGCCACAGCTTCAATGCAGGTTCCGGGCGCTCCCAGGACAGCCCTGGCCCTGCCCTCCACCTGGGAGGTCACATTCTCACCTGCACTGTCCTCCGGCGACACTGGCCTGTCAGCTTCACCATTTTAGCACTGACTGCCTTGCAAGGCGCCACACTCGGGACACAGGGCGGGGATGAGGCCCGGGAGACTGCCTGGAAGGGGTGGCTTGTGAACTGGACTTTGCTGGAGGGGAGGATTCGGGCCACAGGAAAGAGGAGCAGGGACCTGTTGTCCTCAGCGGGAAGTGCGCACAGCCCCGGTTTGCAGGGTAGTTGGGGAGCCGGTCCCCTGCGGGTTGGCTCTCTCACCGCTGTCTTAAGGTTCTCCTACATTAGGCTGAGGTGAGTGGTCACACTAGGTCTCCGCTGGGCCTTGGGATGGCTCTGACCAGCCTGTCTCAACCGCAGCCTGGCCCTGCCCCTGTGGCCCACCCCTCCCTCAGTGGCCACCAGCTCTTCCCCAGCCCCGTGGCCACCAGGGGTCTCCAGGCTGCCGCCTGACCTACAGGTGTGGGGTTTGCCGGTGCCCACAGGTGCGTGAGCCTCCCCTTGAAGTAAAGCTCAAATGGGTGTTTACAGACACCTCGTTTTGTTGCGCCGCACTGTGCGATTGGCGGATGCCGGTTCTCGACGAATGGAAGGATGGTGCAACCCTGCATCCAGCAAGTCCCTCGGCGCCATTTTCCAACAGCACGTGCTCACGGCGTGTCTGTGTCGTGTTTTGGTCATTCTCATGATACTTTGGAATTTTTCGTCATGTGATTCCCCACTTCATAGACCACAGTGTCATGTCAATATGACTTTTAGGGGCACCAAACCCACTGCCACTGAGTCGATTCTGACTGATAGCAACCCCCAGTGGGTTTTCAAGGCTGTAAATCTTCCTCCCAAGGAGCAACTGGTGGGTTTGAACCGGCGATCTTCTGGTTAACAGCCAAGTGCCTTACCCACAACACCAGCAGGGCTCTTTTTATATGCACTGGGACACCAAAAACTTCGTGTGACTTGCTTTATTGTGGTGGTCTGGACCCCAACCCGCCATATCTCTGGGGTTTGCCTGTGTTATACATATACGTGGAATGGCTGGATTCGCCTCCAGGAAGTGGACAGCACGAGCCCTTCCATCCACAGGCCCCGGCTGCCCAGCCTCGCGCAGGGCCGCTGCGGCTCTTCCTCTTCCTCTCTCTGATGTTCACTGCTCCTGGCCTCCCCGCCCTCACCCGGCCTTACTTCTGGCCTGGTCCCCTCCCATCAACTCACTCTTCCCCCTGAAGCGGCTGGTTCCTCCTACTGGGCAAATCTGACCAGTCACTTCCTTTGCTGTCACCAGCAGGACCCTCCAGGCCCCTTCACACTGACACCCTGCTCCTGCTCCCCGATCGCCAGTGCCCTTGAGCGCCTCTCCCTCTGCGCCAGCTACTCTTCCTCCCTTCTGGGTTGCTTAATGCTGCTCAGTCTTTAGGGAGCTCTGGTGGCGTAGTGCCTAAGGCACTTGACTGGTAACCAGAAGGCTGACGGTTCAAACCCACCAGCCACTCCTCAGAAGGAAGACTGGGCAATCTACTTCCACAGACTCCCTCCTCGCCAGCTCCCCCTCCGAGAGGCGCAGCTCGCTCTCTGTGCCCCGTGGTAGGGGGCTGGGCACACAGCTAATATCTGTTGAGCACCTACTGTGTGCCTAGCCCACTTCTCTGGAAACTCGTATAGTGTGATTCCTGGGGTTTTTCTGAGTGACCACAGGAGGAGGACACTGTCCCTGTGCGTGTGAGGAACAGGTCCAGGAGGGTGAAAAGCCTTGCCCAAGGTCACCGAGTGAGCAGTGGAAGTGAAACTCGGAGTGCAATGGCTGACAGTGGTTGCCACACGAAGGGCCCTGGCGGCCCAGGTCACCACCCCCTGGACGTCCCAGCCAGTGGCAGGGCCCTGTGGTGGGCCTGGGGCACGCTCTAACCTAACCAGGGCCGCAGGACGCGACAGCCGGGGACGCCTGCCACTTCTCTAGCATGGAGTCAGAATGTCATGAGTTGCTGGCCTGTGACTGCACGGGTGTGATTTCCAGTCATGGAGAGGGAGGGGCTTGGGGAAACTCAGAGACCCGGAAGAGGGGAGGCAGTCAGGGACACAGGGGGGAAGGATCCTGGGCCGCTGTCCTGAGCGAGAGCTGGAGGCAGAAAGAAAACCGGCGGCACTTGGCAGAAGCCGGGGAAACGGACAGGAGGCAGGGAAACCAGAAACAAACCCCACAGGCTCTCCAGTGATTGGAGACATGAACATGCCCCCCGGAGGCCACTCCAAAGGAGACAGGAGGCCCCAGGCCACCAGCAGCAACGCCTGCAGACAAGCCTGCCGCCTGAAGGGGGCGCCTTCTCCTTCAGAGTGGGCCTGACCGTACTGAGAGGCGTGGCTCTCTGCACCTGCATAGCTAAGAGCTCCGAAGGGCCCAGGGAGGCCTAAGGGACGTGGGGCAGGAGTGTGGTGGCATTTTTGGGGTCGAGGGCGGGAGAACAGTAAGGTGATGTGTTTTACTCGTAATTCAGAAAGCAAGGCTTATGAAATGATGTGGTGGTGTTGAACTGAATCGATGTTGACTCAGAGTGACCCCGTGGGACAGAACAGTCCCACGGGGTGCATTGCCAGCTCTTTCTTACGTGGAACTGCTGGCTGGGTTTGAGCTGCCACCATGCCACCATGCCACCAAACCAAAACAAAACCAAACTCACTGCCATCGGGTCAATTCCAACTCACACTGACCCCTTTGGGTTTCTGAAGAGGTAAATCTTTATGGAAGTAGAGTACCCCATCTTCCTTCCACCAAGCGGCTGGTGGGCTTGAACCGCCACCTTTGTGGTTAGCAGTCAGATGCCTAAGGCACTATGTCAAAATGTGTAAGGAGTTTTCAAAAAAAAAAAAAAATGGCCTATAGATAAATAAATACATAGCTCTGGTGATACAGTGGTTAAAGCACTTGGCTGCTAAGC